AACCCCTGAAAAACAACCCCACACTATAATCCCTCCTCCACCAAACTTTACACTTGGCACAATAATAATAGAAAAAACCTTCTGCGCTGCTACAGGTATAGATAGGATTAATGAAAAAAAACTGCAAACACCTAGACCTAGACGCCACTAGCACAAAGGAAACTAAACAAATAAAAATGGTGTTGTGCTAATATCAATAGTACTAAGGACACAATAATTTGAAGAGTGGGGAGACAGAAAAAATAACCCCAAAACAGAGATAAGTATAAAGGCCTGAATTCAGACCTAATTAGGTGCAAAATGAACTGCGACAAAGCGTAATAATCAGCAAGTGAACATAAATAATACATAAAAATGTAAAGGCCTGAACCCAGACCAAACTAAGTGCAATATAAATTTTTTTTTTTTTTTTTTTTCTTAGTCCTTACATCTGTAACTCTCCTATATTTTTTTATGGGATCATATGAAAAATTTAAGTAAATGACAAATGTTCAGTAATTGGTTGAGTGTGGATTATGTTTAAAGTGATTGTAAACCCAGAATTATTATTTATTATAATTTTTTTTTTTAGAACAAATGTCATACTTATCCACTCAAGCAGCCCCAATCCTCCTCTTCTGGGGTCCTCTGCTGGCACTCCTGGCTTCTCCCTCTTCCTTAATGCCCACATAGCAAACCATTTTCCATGGGGACACTCATGCAGGGATTCGTTCCTGAGCTGCGCTCGCTCCTCTTTGGTTGTGATTGACAACAGCGGGAGCTAATGGCTACTGCTGCTGTCTCTGAGCCTATGAGGAGGGAGAGAGCAGAGAGAGCTCTCATGAACAACACTGGATTGAGATTGGGCTCAGGTAAATATAGGGGGGGGGGGGGGCTTGGGGGGAGCTGCACTCAGAATGTGTTTTACCTTTTAAAGCGGAGTACCACCCAAAAGTGGAATCTCCGTTTTTTTGCCTCCTCCCTCCCCCTCCGCTGCCACATTTGGCACCTTTTTGGGCGCAGGGGGAGCAGGTACCTGGTTTTGACAGGTACCTGCCCCACTTCTGACGGAGTTCACCGCGGTGAACTGAGCCGGAATTTCGACAACCCCCACAGCCCTCTGGGACACTTCCAAGGTCACAGAGGACTGCAGCCCAGTCACAAAAGCACAGCACACTTCGCGAATGCGCAGTAGGGCACGGGCCATGAAGCCGCAAAGCTTCACTGTTGGTTTCCCTACATCAAGATGCGACACCAGCACCCAACAGCCGATTGAAGAATGGTACACCGCTGGATGCCTGGACAGGTAAGTGCCCTACTATTCTAAGTCAGCAGCCACAGTATTTGTAGCTGCTGACTTTTAATGTTGTTTTTGGGAGAGTGGTAGGGGCCGGAACTCCACTTTAATGAAGATAACGCATTAAAGTAAAACTATAGGCAAAACTTCTTTTTTTTTTTTTTTTCTCTTTTCTTTTTGGATGGAGCAAGAAAGGGTTATAACCTTTGCCAGTTTTTTTTTTTTCTGTCTTCTGTGTCCCATTAGGGAGATATACCTTCAGTTCGTGTTCCCTAGCCAAAACAGGAAATGAGAGGAAATCCCTAAAAATTAAAGGAATCCCTTTAAGATCCCCAGGTCACCATAACTAGTGTCTCCATTGGAAGATTTCTCCTCTTACATATCTGGGGACAACCCAACATTTAGAATTTTCTTTTACTTTCACTTTTTCAATGGTAATCAGGACAAACCGAGAGGATGAATCTTCCAAACAGGGACACAGACAGCAAAAAAAACTTGACAGATGTTCTAATACATCTCCATTTTAGTTGTACTTTAAAGTAAAAAAAAATTCAGTCTTTAGAACCACTTTAAGGAAGAACACATATTCCTGTTTTAAAACCTATTTCGTGGTAAGCACCACCATCTACACCAAAAACCTTTTTCTTAACTTCCTTTTTTGCTGTTCATCATACACACACATCCCTACCATAGCTTGTTATTTTTTTATTGAGTTGATGTGATGTGTTTAAGACATTAACAGCTTATTATGTTCAGTAATGTTATTGATGCTGGAAGTTGGGATTCCTACTCCTCTTATAAGAATGAATGCAAGTTCATACATTGAGTACAGATGGGGCAGTCAGATCTGCTCTTGTCTCTATATCTGGAAACAAAACACCCATGAAGTTTTGTACCTTTTTTTTTTGTATCACTTCACCCTTCCTGTTTAGATTGTAAGCTGTCATGAGCTGGGTCCTTTTTTACACTTCTTATACTGAATTGTATTGTCTCCCTATATTTTGAAAACTACTGCGCAAATGGAATAGTAATTTCCAAAAATTAAACTTTATTGGTTTTAAAATTTAACTAATGTTAAGGTACTACTAGCAAGAAAATTGTAAGTTTTTTTATTACAAGATAATTTTTTTTTTTTTTTTCAAAAAACATGATCAGAGAAGAGTGTTACAAACTTTGTGTGCCTTCAGGCACCACTGATGAAAGACATCTCTGAATACATCTTTGACTTAATCTAAAATACATTTGTAATGGAAGCAATTGTTCTTGGACTCAATTTTTGGAGCAGTAACTTGATTCTCAGTAAGCTTTATCGATTCAGATTCACAGCCATAGAATTAATATATGGCCAAGGAAGCAGAAGGAAACAGCAACTGCCATCTGAAGATTCTCATTCAGATCTTAACAGACTGGGTTCTATTGTATCAGTTTTAAAAGTATTTTACTGTAAACATTTTTTTTTCCAGCACAACTTATGTTTTTTTTTTTTTTTTTTTTTTTTTTTTAGTTTGAAGGAATTCCTACATATCCACATGTTGGGAGATTCTGGGAAATCATTGAAAAGTATAAGGTGACCCAGTTTTACACAGCACCCACTGCTATCCGCTTGCTCATGAAGTATGGAAATGAAGTAATTAAGAAGTAAGTGTTTTGGAATGTGACAGCACATCTGGACAGCCAAGACTGTAAATTAACTGGTTCCTGCCCGGCCTATGGCCGAATGGCGGCCGGCAAAAACACTCACCTTTCCGGGTTGGACGCCATTGTATACAACTGTCATGTGACAGCAGGTCACATGACAGTTGTATACAATGGATGGCTTAATTCATGCCATCCATTGTATACTAGTGTGTCTAGCTGTGAATGGTCACAGCGATCACATGCACAAGCTGGGCCAATCACATACCAGCTGTGTCATGTGATTTAGCCATGGCCAAATCACAGCTAAGCAAAAAAGAAAAAACCCTGAATGAATCTGTCATTCAGGTAAATGCTTGCTTATAGCAAAGTAATTCTATGCTATAAGCAAATTGTGTGTGAAGAAAAAAAAAAAACAAATGATCACTTCCCCAAAGTAGTACAATGTTACTATGGTAACATTGTACTATTTTGGTCAAAGTGAAATATGAAAAACAAATCTTAAAAAAAAAAAAAGAAAAATGTAATAAAAAATATCATACTGTCACCAGTCAGTGTCCCTGATCACCACCATGCCAGTTATATGATGACGCTGTACTGCACTGGTGACAGTATGTAAAAAAAAAAAAAAAAAAATAGTGAAAATTATTTAAATTTTTTCATTTTCCGAAAAATTATGACAAAAATACTTCAAAAAACTCACCATGCCTCTTATGAATATGTCGGACTGTCTACTTTGCAAAAAGGGGTCATTTGGGGGATATCTGTACTGTTCTGACATTCTTGGACCTCAAGAAATTAGATTGGCTGTCAGTACATCAAGATTGATCAATTATTCAGATCTATACCATAGTTTGTGAACTCTATAACTTTCCTACAAACTAAATAATACATCCTAATTTGGGTTATTTTCACCAAAGACATGTAGTAGAATACATACATACATATTTATGAAGAACAATTATTTTTTTTTGCAAACTTTTATAACAGAAACAAAAATGTGTTTTTTAAAAAAAAAAAAAAAAAGGTCTTTTTTTGTTAATTTAGCAAAAAATAAAAACCCCAGCGGTGATTAAATACCACCAAAAGAAAGCTCTAGTTGTGTGAAGAAAAAGATACAATTTTAGTTTGGGTACAATGTTGTATGACTGCGCAATTGTCATTCAAAGTGTGACAGCGCTGAAACCTGAAAAATGGCCTGGGCAGGAAGGGGGTAAAAGTGCCCGGTATTGAAGAGGTTAAAGAGGCCTTTTTCAACATACACTCCTTGTGGGACTGCACATTTAGCAAATGAATACATATGCATATTTTAATATTGTTACATGTATATAGACAGTCAGAAAATACATGGACATTAGGTCCCTTTGTACACTGCTGTCTGTGTTTGCAATGTCCAAAATGACATCAAAACACATCCATAAAGAGCAAATAAAAATGGTTATTAATGTAGCAAAGTCCATCTAGTCCATGAAGCACAGAGCAGTTAGCCATAACTGCAACATGAAGTTCTGCTCATCTGAATTTGATCTGATGCTGCCAGTACACAGTTTTGTAGACTTTACCACAGTAATCTGACCCCCAGAGTTTCTTTTTTTTTTTTTTTTCAGTTTCACACGGCCAAATTTTTTTGAAATTTTGGTTAAGGTGGCTCAGAACAATATTTCATCCCAAATGTCATCATTTTGCCAATTGAGACTAGGAAAAAAAAATCAGTGTTAGTAGTAGAATTAAATGAATACAATTGATTCAAAACCTTTTGGAGAGCACATGTCCAAGCTGAATCCTGCAAGAAAGTTTGGATGACAGATGCTGATAATTATCTATGTACACGTTAAATGGGCAGGAAGGAACATATAGTGACCCAAAGGCCACAATGCAGTCTATTTAATTATCATGATTGCTCCTGTTGCCTGCACAGTATGAATGTGGTATATGTTTTGAAGATGACCGAATTTGTCTGCCATCAGCCAAGATGTAGGACCCTTTGGTGTTTGGACAGCTTAATGTTTAGGAAATGCTGCCTTGTAAATTGTTTGTCTGATTGTTCATCATGACCCATATTTTTTAATTTAGGTATGATTTAAATTCTTTGAAGATTCTAGGAACTGTAGGAGAACCTATCAATTCAGAAGCCTGGCTATGGTACTATAATGTCATTGGCAATCAAAGGTGTCCCATCGTGGACACCTTTTGGCAGACAGAAACCGTAAGTGTTGCATCCTGTTATTAGGACTGTTTATGTTGGCTGTTGATTATAACAGATGGACAGAGGTTGAAAAATTTGTGAAATTACCAGAGGGATTTCTCTGGCCAAAACATAATGTTATAAGTACATCAGTGGTACGCAGAGTGCTGTTTTTTTTAATTCCCCCCAATTTCAGCCTGAATTCAGTATGTGTATATGTATGTATGTGTATATAGTGTACACACACACACACACACACACTTACTTTGGTCAATGCTAAATTTGAAAATTTATGAAATAAAAAAGAAAATCGTCCCTCCCAAATAATAAATTGCTCTCCCATCTTTGATTATTACCTCCTGAATGTAGAATATGACAAAATGGGTAAAGCGTGGACTGAGTTGAAGTTAGTTATACCTGTACCCAGAAATAATGCAAGACAAAAATAGGGACACAAGGTCTCCTGGACTATGCTTAATGAAAAAATGGTTAGCAATTTGCAGGACAAATAGGGTTACATTCACATAGGAGACTGTGTGTGTGTGTGTGTGTGTGTGTGTGTGTGTCAGGGGTGGCCACTGGCAAGAATCAGTCAATTCTTGCCAGTGGTTATAAACACTGTTGCATGCACCTAGGTTGATTTACTACTGGTGTCGGCAACCCGCGGCTCTTTTTTTTTCACCTTTCCTGCGGCTCCGGAGCACACTGCCCACCAGGTGACAGGCAATAGGGTTGCCGTAGCTCAGTGGTTGGCAAGCCGCGGCTCTTTTAATGCAGCTCTTCTGTGTGCCGGGTGCCCGCTGGCAAACATTGGCTGTCAGGATGTAGGCGGGACAGCATGACGAACTCCTCTCCTCTCACAGTCCGCCCTGAAGACCAGAACGGCGCGGGAACGCGGCGAGAGGAACGCGCGGAGCAAAGGTAAGTGAATTGACACAATATGGGGGATGAATTACTGTGGGGGATGAATTACTATGGGGGATGAATTACTATATGGGGGATGTATTTTCAGTTTTAAAAATGTTTCTCTCAAAATAAATTTCAATCGTGGTTTTGGCGAGATTTGGCTCAGTTAAAAAAAAAAAAAAAAAAGTTGCCCACCACTGACCTAAGGCTATGATTGTGATTATGACGATACACTGTGGCCCTGATTAACCCTTTGCTTACTGGGCCCTTAAACCCCCTTCATGACCAGAGCACTTTTTGCAATATATGCAGTGTCGGATTTGTTTTAAATGTTGCAATGGTTTTGCGGCTCCCAGTCTTTTTTTTTCCCTCTCGGAAACGGGTCCAAGTGGCTCTTTATGTCTTAAAGGTTGCAGACCCCTGATTTACTAAAACTGGAGAGTGCACAATCTGGTGCAGCTCAGCTCTGCATAGAAACCAATCCGTTTCCATTTCTTTTTGTGTTGTGTGGTTGTTTGGTTTTTTTTGTTTTTTTGTTTGTTGTGAAAGGGAGGTATGTCCCTTTTTGAGGATGTGCAAGAAAAGCATCAGGGAGGAGCCTACGTGCTGACATGTCACCGAGGCCATGCACGGGGCGGCGCCCATTCATGCAAGTCCGGCCGCTCCTGTTTTTTTTTTTTTTTTTTCCATGTATTCCACATGGATTTTATCTCTATGTGAATAAATTACTACACTATATACGTATCCTTGGGCTCAGTGTGTGAGCTTTTTTTTTACCAAGGTGCATCTTGGTTACTTTCTGTTGGAGTCCATCAAAAGAAAGTTGTGAAGGAGGCCATCTCAGATCTTATTTTGGGCATTTGCCAGATCTCTGGTGAGTGCATAAGGGTGAAGTTCCCACAGAAGAGATGTCACCACTGGATTGTTGTCACCGGTTTACATGTTCAACAATTTATGGACTTTATTATCCATCGGTCACTTTGCACTGTTCACTTTTTGGTGCTTATTGATGTGTGTTGTTACTACTACTACCATTGTATACCTCACACTTTATAACGTTATTATATGATTCACTTTTTTTGCTTTATACAATTTATATGCAGCATTTTTAGGGCTGCACATTTTGTTTTTATACATTGAACAAGCTGAAATTAGAAGCTGACTGGCTACCATGCACAGCTGTGCCAGAGTTTGCGCTGTCCAGTTTTAGTAAATCAACCCCACTGTGTGTGAACAGCTGCAGGTGTCAGTGGCAGCTGTCAAATGTCAATGACAGGCACCGTTGCTGTGCTTCCCAAATTGTGGTAATTTCAAAAAACCTCTCTAGACATTTTGATGATGGTAGTAATGCAAAAGGAGTCCTCAGTTTCAAAGAATAGATTTTCATAAATGCTTCTTTACGTCCATGCAATGGTGTGCCTAGCACAATCTGGCAGTGGAGATGATGATTCTCTACCCCAGTCCTTCTCTACTGACAGTCCTGCTCTCTGCTCAAAGCAGCTGTGAGAAGTCATCGATGAGTTCTCGCCTTTTTGGAGCTGGCTAGGGACAGGTGCAGCATTACACCGATGGGGGGTGGGGGGGGGGATGGCTGGCTCAGGCTCTCGATAGATCACTCAGAGGCAGAGCCATGTGCCGCTCCAGACTCTGGGGTGGATCCCAACTTTGAAGTTTGGATCTTTCCGCAGACTGGAGTGGCTGAGTGATGCTGTTGTTGGCTGAAAACTGGTCACAGGACTGCAGATTGAATTGCACTCCTGTGATCCACAGGACAAGTACAGTCAAAAGACTGCCAACTGCTAAAACCAATGGCCACTACTCCATAATCTTACTACTCGACCTCTCTCTGGCTTTTGATACGGTTGACCATCCCCTCCTCCTCAAAAAAACTCCACTCTCTTGGTCTCAGAGACTCCGCTCTCTCCTGGTTCTCCTCTTGCCTATCGCAGCGCTCCTTCAGTGTTACCTATAACGCTGCCACCTCCTCTTCACTCCCTCTCTCCGTAGGGGTCCCTCAAGGTTCTGTCCTTGGACCCCTTCTCTTCTCCATCTACACCTCCTCCCTTGGTCAACTGATAAACTCCCACAGCTTCAATTACCATCTCTATGCTGATGACACACAAATGTATCTTTCTACCCCTCACCTCACCCTTCAGTCTCCACTCGCATTACTAGCCTACTAAGTGACATATCGGCATGGATGTCACTCCACTTCCTCAAACTCAATCCTTCCAAAACTGAGCTCTTAGTATTCCCTCCAGCCTGTGCCCCCTCCCCTGACTTCTCCATCAAGATCGATAACACTATCATCAGTCCCTCCCCTCATGCCAGGGTACTAGGTGTAATCCTAGACTCCCATCTGTCCTTTCAGCCCCAGATCCAATCACTGACAAAATCTTGTAGACTTCATCTCCACAACATCTCCAAGATACGACCGTTCCTAACCTCGGAAACCACTAAGCAACTTATTCACTCCCTTGTTATATCACGCCTCGACTATTGTAACTCCCTCCTCATTGGCCTACCTAATCGCAGGCTATCCCCTCTTCAGTCTATCATGAATGCTGCTGCCAGACTCATCCACCTTACTAACCGTTCTGTATCTGCCACCCCTCTCTGCCAATCCCTCTACTGGCTTCCCATTGCCCAATGGATAAAATTCAAAACATTAACAATAACATATAAAGCCATTTATAACACTGCCCCAAATTACATCACCGATCTTGTCTCTAAATATCACCCAAACCGTACTCTCTGCTCCTCGCAAGACCTTCTACTCTCTAGTTCCCTTGTCTCCTCCTTCCATGCTCATCTCCAGGACTTCTCCAGGGCTTCCCCCATCCTCTGGAACTCTCTACCCCAATTTATCAGACTATCGCCTACTCTGCTTACTTTTAGGTGATCACTGAAACCCTATATCTTCAGGGAAGCCTATCCTGCCCTCAGCTAATACTGGAATCCTCTACTCTTCCAACCACTCTATCCCCCACAGTTACTACCTTTTTGTACCACTAACCCCTCCCTCCTAGATTGTAAGCTCCAAGGATCAGGGCCTTCAAATCCCTCTTGTATTGAACTGTATTGTTGCTGTATTGTCTCCCACTATAATATAAAGCGCTGAGCAAACTGTTGGCGCTATATAAATCCTGTATAATAATAATAAAAAAGAGCTTTGGCTGTACTAATCTTTGAATGACTATGCCAAAGCATGAGTGCAACAGACACGTAAAAACCTCAGCAAACTCATTTTAATAAAATTAAACTGTTCCAATAAATATATTTTTTATACACACAACCTACCTTAATGAAAAACTTTGGGAGTACTGTGCTTAGAGTGCAGTGGTCTGGGGAATGAAATGTAAAAACACAGTGAGGGGAATTCTCAAAACTGGATCTGACAGAATCTTGAGCAACTGTGTATGGCAACCAATCAGATTCTGTCGTTAGCTTGTTCAGTTAAGCTTTGAAAATGTAAGCTGGAAGGTGATTGGTTGCCATGTCTAGCTGCTCCAGTGTCGATAAATTCCCCTACATATCTATAGTGCAGGGTATAGGAGTACAAACCGCACAGACCACTTTAGATTACAACCAAAATGACCCCTCTTCCCAGTAAAAGCCATCTTGTAAGTCAATACAGCACAGAGACCCCTCATTACCATTCTCCAAGAGAGAAAATTATATTGTAATTTGTTGGATCCCAACCTCTGTAAAGATAAAGGTTGGATATCAGGGATGGATGGATGTAAGCATAACACTTAGGCAGCTCTTTTTAGAGTGGAAGCAAGGCTCTAATAGTAACAAGAAAGAGAGGAAGGCGCCTCTAAGTGCAGTATTGACAATTATTCAGTAAAACAATGGAAAATTTGCACTTACAAGATCTTTTTCTTATGGGACATCCAGCAGCAAAACTATGCCTATAGATCAGGAAGTAGAGACCAGGATGTGCCTGTGCATCCAATGAAGCAGTGGAGAGCAGAGTCAGATTTTTTACTTATTTGAATTTTTTGGTATTTCGGAGCAGATGCCCAATAGGCTCCTTCTTCAGACCTCTGAAGCTTCATTTTTTGATGCATGGCACAGGACATCCTGGTCTCTACTTCCTGATTTTATTTACTGGACGGCTGGATGTGCCACCTGAATCTAATTACCACACGATGAGAAACCGTTTATCTTGTAAGTGCAAATTTTCCATTGTTTACTGAATAAATTGTCAATACATGCACTTAGAGGCGCCTTCCTTCTCTTTTTTATTCTCCAAGAGAGACCCTTCAGTACAGTTGGATTTTTATTATTTTACTTATTTTTTTTTGGTTCCCCCCCCCCCCCCCCCCAACACAGACTTACTCCTGACATGGGAAGGACATTTTTTTTTTTTACGGAGAGTGGCTTCTCTCTGGGCTGGTTCGCACTCTGAATTGCACAGGAGCGCACTGTGCATTACTGTGTGATTTTACATGTGATCTGAGTGCAGTGCGATATTTATTTATTTTTTTGCCCCTTTTAATTTGAATGGACTGAAATCGCTCCAGACCACAGGAAAAGTAGTGCATGCGCTACTTTACAAAACAGTACAGAAGTACATAGTAGAAGTACCACGCAATCCAGTGCAGGCAAATGTTTGTAAAATGAGTTTGGGGTGTTGTGTGGTTCTTGCATCTTGTTCTAGTGTGAACTGGCTTTCTCTTATTTTTCTAAAAACTTAAACAATGAATGTACAGGGCGTTGTCCATGGCAACTAGTCGGGTATTGGCATTCATTGTACAAAAACAAACAAACTAGAAAATCAAACAAAATCTACAGCAATAATTTAACTTTTATTTCATGTAGCGTGTCCCTTTTTGTTCCTTATGGCTCATGTACCCAGCGTCCTCTTGTACTACTTTGGCAAAGTGTTCTTTGTACCTTTTTAAAGAGTCACTGATTATATTTGTAGGATATGCAGTACTGTGACATAGCAGAGTCATGCTCATGAGCAGTTCTTCTGGGAAGGTACTGGTTGTAGGTAGGCGTGAAGGTGAAGATCTGACAGCGTAATGCCTATACTGTATGTAATTACCAGTCATTGCAGATGATTTCACACTTGATGCAAAGGCTAATGGATATATTGGAGTTGTTAGTACTGCCATCTCTGAACTTTGTGTATGCAATAAATCTTAATAATGCGTTTTAGCAAGTGGTTCTCTGTGTAATGTTTTATTCTAAATTGTTGAGCCTATAAAGGTATAAATTGTCTACCTAAGAATCATTATCCTGTGACATGTGTATACTGCTATTCCTGACAAGTTATCTACCACAATCTGCAAGTGTTACTGTGCTCTGTACAATACATCTAGGGTATGTGATGAAGGCATCGTCTTTACTGTATATAATGAACTGTACACGAAACTAGGCATACCGTTCAGTGCTACAAAAGATCTCCCGCATTCCAGGCACATTTCAGAATGTTCTGACTTTCTAAGATCAGATACCTATGCCTGGAAACAGTAATGTCAACAATAAGGACTGCAACTGTGCTAAAGTCAGAACGTTCACTCCATTTACAATAACTTGAGTTCTGTGCAATCCCCTGCACAACAAGCACACACATCCCCATATAGGGTCAGTGTACTTAATGAAGTCCTTGCTATATGTAACTTTCTTTCTCTCATTCCTGCATTTCTAATCACACTTGGCTTCCAATGTATAGACTAAAAATCTTTTGTACTGATCTGATTTCAGGGGGGTCATGTGATAACTCCTCTCCCGGCTGCCACTCCACTAAAACCTGGATCCGCAGTAAGTAGCGATAATCAATTCAGTGACACTATGAAAGTATTTCTTCCACAATGGGAATTAGCACAACTTCTTTGTATTCATTGTCTGTCTTGTTTTACAACAAAAAATAGACATGCATACCTGTATAAATAAAAATACGATGTATTATATATTGTCATATATACTGTATATGTGAAATATCTTTTGTTTAAAAATGGCCAGAAATATTAAGCCTTGTTCACATTTGTGTACTACAGCGTACACATATGTGAGAGCTGTGCTTCCCCCCGCACGGGTAGGCACAGATGTTTTGTGCATCCCTGTGCTGGCAGACTCATTCATGTTAAATGGGATGCAGTGACTGCTTGGACACAACCACTGCTCCAGATTTGACATCCGTACAGGTAGGGGTGCATGGCCTTGAACGCAGACTTTGTGCATCCGCATGCAGGCAAACATGGCCCTAGTACAGGTATACACTGTAGTATGCCTGTGTGAACAAGTCCTTTTCACACTGGCATTGCCGGTTCAATCACCTTTTTTTGCCAAGAAAATCTGAAATTCAACTTACATTAGTTGACATCAGCTTGTGCATCCATCTTAAGTTCAGTTCAGTTTACATTTTATTTCGGTTTAGATCTGTTTTAGCATCTGCTTGTTTTAGTTGTTGCAGAAACCAATCATGGGTGACAAAAGTATAAACAAGAAGGGTTTTTTTTTTACCTAAAAGTGAACATAAACAGAATGAACATAAACGGACGGCATCCCTTTTACTTCCCTTCAGATCCATCTAAATGGAAAAGGATGCAGCCTTGTTCTGTTTAAAAAAAAAAAAAGAAAAAGGGATTTGACTGGGTGCGGATGTAAACAGATGATCATGTGTCTACATCCTGCCTCATAGACCTAAAATGTGGTTCAGTCTGAGGCCATCTGAAAAACCGACAAACAGATTCAAACTGAATGCCCATGTGTAAGAGCCCATAACATTTTATTTAGGGATGCACCGATATATCGGCGACCGAAATGTATCAGCCAAAAATAGTGTTATCAGCATTTTGCCAATAGGAAAAAAGGTGCCGATCATGGCCACTGAAAAACCTGTGATTTTACCCCCAATTTTTAGGGAGTATTTTTTCACACGTCATGTGACTCAAAAAACCGCAACACGTGTATTTAAGGCCTGGTTCACACCAGTGAATTTTGTCTGTTTTGCAGTGCTTTTTTTTTTTTTTTTTTTTTTTTTTTTTTTTTTTTTTTTGTGCACACATTTTTTGATGCATTTTGATTTTTTTAATTTTTTTTTTTTTTTGTCCAACTTGCTGCTGGGCAGATTAAAAACTCATTAACGTGTCAAAAACTCAGTACATGCGTTTTCTTCAACATCTCCATTGCAGTTTATTGAACCAAAAATGCAATGTTTTGCATTTTAAAAAAAAGTCTCTGACCCTTTCCAAAAACGCAGCAGCTCAAAAAATCATAGATGTGAACATGTCCCATAGCAAACCATGTTAAATGGACTGTAGTGCGTTCCTGAAAAAAGCACTAGAAAATGCATTGATGTGAACCAGGCCTCAATGGGGAGGTGTTTTTGTTTTTTTTAAACGACCAAATATGCACCAAAAATGCGGCAAGCAGGATTTTTAACACTGCAAGGGAAGTGGAACAGACCAGTGTGAAGATATACATTGAATTTAAAGGGATGCATTTTTCTTGAGCTTTTCTTACACTTTTTATTTTAATTTATATTTTTTTTTTTTTAACACAAAAGCACTTCAAAAACTGCTCATTGTGAAAGCCTATTGGCCAAAAAAAAGTGCTGAAAATAAATTCATATTCATTTAAAGCCATGATATTCATTAAAAAGTTGAATATAATACAACTATACATAAAAAAAATGTTTCTTAAAAACTGTCCGGTTTTAGTTTCAAAACCATTTTGGATTCGGTTTTTGGCCAAATGCATCCTGAATTTTGGTTTTGGTCCAGAATTTTGATTTGGTGCACCACTAATTTTATTACAACAGTCACGCAGCCAACAATAAGCTGACCATAGATATACTAATATAGTGTAGATCTTTCTGCTATATGTAGTGTAGGGTTTAGTTGACTGGATACAGATTGGAAGGATTGGTAAAGTAGGCCCTCAAATTACCACAAATAAAACCAAATTAGAAAGATTTGTTCATTCAGGGCCTGGCATATACAGTGCCTTGAAAAAGTATTCATACCCCTTGAAATTGTTCACATTTTGTCATGTTACAACCAAAAACATAAATGTATTTATTGGGATTTTATGTGATGGACCAACACAAAGTGGCACATAATTGTGAAGTGGATGATAAATGGTTTTCAAAATTTTTTTAAAAATATGTGAAAAGTGTGGTGTGCATTTGTATTCAGCCCCTGAGTCAATACTTTGTAGAAGCACCTTTCACTGCAATTACAGCTGCAAGTCTTTTTGGGTTTGTTTCTACCAGGTTTGCCCATTCAAAATAGCTCAAGCTCTGTCAGACTGGATGGAGAGCGTCTGTGAACAGCAATTTTCAAGTCTTGCCACAGATTGTCAATTGGATTTAGGTCTGGACTTTGCCTAGGCCATTCTAACACATGAATATGCTTTGATCTAAACCATTCCATTGTAGCTCTGGCTGTATATTTAGGGTTGTTGTCCTGCTGGAAGGTGAGCCTCCGCCTCAGTCTCAAATCTTTTGCAGACAAACAGGTTTTCTTCTAAGATTGCCCTGTATTTGGCTCCATCCATCTTCCCATCAACTCTGACCAGCTTCCCTGTCCCTGCTGAAGAAAAGCATCCCCACAACATGATGCCACCATCATGTTTCACGATGGGGATGGTGTGTTCAGGGTGATGTGCAGTGTTAATTTTCCGCCACGTAAAATTTTAAATTTTGGTCTCCTCTGACCACCTTCTTTCATATGTTTGCGGTGTCCCCGACATGGCAGATTTCAAGGGGTATTAATACTTTTTCAAGGCACTGTATATCCAAATTGTGCAGACAGAAACTGAAGCGGTTTACTTCCAACAGTACATTGATAGAAAAGGTTGAAGTGATTATTTTTAAGACCGCATCCCATCTATTTTATGTCCATCTTTGCTGATTACAAATCTATTTTCTTTATGAATACATAGTGCAACATACATAATGAGTACTTATTTGTGTAACTAACGTTTACTATCTAGAATAGTGTTTTATTTGTACTAATATGATGACATGCCATACACATCTTAGCATCCAGTGTGTACTCTCTATAGTCTTCACATATACAAGAATCCATATACTGACAAGATTATGTGTTACAGACTTTTCCATTTTTCGGAGTGGTCCCTGCTGTTTTGAATGAGCATGGAGAGGAATTAGTGGGAGAAGCGGAAGGTTATCTGGTAAGCAAGTGATGTAAAAATTCACTGTACATACTGTGGATGTACTTATTGCCAGGGTTGGTACATAAAAATGTATGTATGTGTGTATATGTATATGTGTGTGTGTGTGTGTGTGTGTGTGTGTGTGTGTGTGTGTGTGTGTGTGTATGTGTGTGTGTGTGTGTGTGTGTGTGTGTGTGTGTGTGTATGTGTGTGTGTGTGTATATATATGTATGTGTGTGTGTGTGTGTGTGTGTGTGTGTGTATATATATATATATATATAATATTACATTACACACACACACAGTATATCATATTTTCATTCTGTTCCATATGCAATCCGGATATCTTTAGCAGATTTTGCTATATATATTACTGGTTCACCTTTAAAGATCACACAGTGTGGCTCCATAGATGAATGACCAGTTTGTATAGGATTAGATGTGATCTTTCCACGACTGCATATTGTATACTTGTTGATTTAAACAAAGCAGATGTTTTAATATTAATAACCCATTTCAGTTTCAGCACCTCTCACTTTCCAACTTTCTGGGAGAATAATTTGCTACTTTTAAACAGTTGAATGACTCATGGGGGTTTATTTACTAAAGCTGGAGAGTCCAAAATCAGACTCCCTTCTGCATAGAAACCAATCAGCTTCTAACCTCAGCTTGTTCAATGAAACCTGGAAGCTGATTGGTTTCTATGCAGAAGGGAGTCTGATTTTGGACTCTCCAGCTTTAGTAAATAAACCCCATGGTGTCCTAAGGATAGTAAGTTTTGTCCTTGTTTAGCCATATCACTGCTGAAGATCAGGAAAGACATCTGTGCCTTGCCAGCCTTCCCCACTGTAGTTTGTAGCTGTCAGTACACGTGACATACTGGGAAAGTGCCATTTTGATGCTGAAAGAGGAAAGTAAAGCAATAATTTCACAAAAGCTGCAAATGAATGACAGACACCAGTAGTTGAAGTCAATCTTCCCGACGCATCGTACCTTCAACAGCCCCTGGCTATCAGTAGTCAGTGCATTTTTTTTTATTTTCCGTCAGTCCTCATTTTAGTTTTGCAATTTTAGGTCTTCAAACATCCATGGCCATCTATAATGAGGACTGTGTATGGTAACCATGAGCGCTTTGAGAATACCTACTTCAGAAAGTTTCCAGGATATTATGTGGCTGGAGACGGTAAGGAGTTCCTGCCTGGCAGGTCACTTAATATATTTATAAAGTAGTCTGTATACAATAAAGCAACAGATACCTCTCCGACACATATTTTCTTTTAATTCAATAGGATGCAGAAGGGATAAGGATGGGTACATCTGGATTACAGGTCGGATAGATGATATGCTGAATGTGTCAGGTATGCATTATGTATATACTTGTATATATATTTATATGTGTATGTGTGTGTATATATATATATCTCTCATGAAACTGGGTCCATTTACATTTGCATGAGCCATTTTATTAAGTTAAATCCACCATAAAGTTGTTTCTTATCCCATGAGAAAGGAAGAGCTTCTCCTGAAATGAAGTGTGACATCAGTCTGAGCAGCAAAGACACACAAGGACACACAGCAAGCCTGCTGGTCCTAGAAGACTGAGATTTTTATTAAATCTTTTTTGTACAGTTGCTGACCAAGCTGGTGAGACAGAGGCAAGGTCACTTGTAATCTGTTAACTGCCCATTTACTTTGTGCTTGCAAAACAATTTTATGTTATTTGTTGATTTTGTTATGCACACATATAATTGGTATTTTTTTTTTTTTTTTTTTTTGCTTTTAGTTGCTGGTGCTCAGCCTTTCCAAGCAGTATTAATGTGGAGTTGAACCACTGTATTGCAGATCATCCGCATTGTGGCTGTATGATTCTGATAGTCTTATATCAGTCAAACTTTGAATGTTTTTACTTCTGAACATATGGTTCTAGGCCTGATTGTTCTATATAGGGAACACAAGGTTGTTAGTTTTTTCATTCAATAATTTTTTACTTTTGATCTCAACTGGTAAGAAAACACCTAGGCAAGTAGTCGAACATCTTCATGACATTACAAGGAGACATTGTGATACATTGGAGCAAACATGCTGAAGTGAACACGTACTCAAAAACTGTCTAGATGTGGATAATTAGTGGTACAGTAATACTGATGCTTCCTATATCTTGAAAAGTTGATATTGATTAAGCATTGTAAACAGAGGAAAGGGGATTAAAAAAATGATAAAAGGGGGGGGGGGTAAAGTGCTTTCGAAGTCTAATGAGGTTGCTAGTTTTTTTATACAGTATACATGCATACTGTGTACTCACACTGTACACCTGCTTGAAGAAGTAAATATGAAATGTCCCTTGCAGGCCACCTGTTAAGCACTGCCGAGGTCGAATCTGCACTGGCAGAGCATCCAGCAGTTGCGGAGGCAGCGGTAGTTAGCCGCCCACACACTGTGAAAGGGGAATGTCTCTACTGCTTTGTCATTCTGAAAGATGGCAAGAAATTTACAGAAGTCATTGCAGAAGAACTTAAAAAGCAAGGTAAGCCAAAGATATGTTATTTTTGGTGTGTATGCTGTCTGCTCTGCTATGTGGAATCATTTCCACACCCACGGTTTATATTCTTTACATCAATAAATAAATGAGTATACAAAGATCTAATGAATATAACCGTTCCTTATTGAAACCCCCAACTTGAGAATTTGTTGACACCACAAGCTGCTCACGCTTACTCATGCTCTGGAAATCCTTCTGTTTTAAATCCAGGATAATTCACAGCCAAAGACCTACATTTTACATGTTAATACCTAATTTCTACTGAGTACTTTGCATATTTGTAATCCATACAAACCAAATAACATGATGAATGTAACTGTTGTATGGACTTCGAAAAATATATCTAAATCTTATCCTGTACAGTTCGTGAGAAGATTGGACCTATAGCAACACCAGATTTCATACAGAATGCTCCTGGATTGCCAAAAACACGATCAGGTAAATACAGTAATTCATTCTATATCAATGCTACCAGCATAGTTTAAAATTCAAGCACACACAATATGTATTCTGCTAAATCTGACTATGGACTGGGAGTAGCCTTCCCAAGAGTAACAAGCAAGAAAGTACTGCCAGCCCTTTTCAGAGCTGGAACCTGATATGCAATTTTTCCACAGGCTGGAAAATCTCTGAGGGCATAATAAACACCTCTGATGGCCCTCCCCCAGGAGAACTCTAAGTAGCCTTAAATATGTCCTCTAAGGTTTCTATCATGTGTCCAGCAGATGACCATCCTTACCCAAGGCATTTTCAATGGAACATACAGTATCTATAGATAAGTTGAAAATTCAAGCGGTCATACATTGTAGGTCTATCCAGACTTCCCACAACCGTCTGTTGTAATTTAATGAGCTAAAACTCATTCAGATGACCTTGTCCAAAAAGAAAAAGGACTTCAATGTAATGTAATGGCAGGTCTGTAAGTTACTTGCACTTGTATCAGTGCAGGACCATGTAAAAGATTAATTTAGTTACCTCCCCAGCAGCATATACTTAGAAGTATGGAAAAAAAAGTTCTACTCACCAAGGTGGAAGCAGCATTGTTCCGATGCTGCATCTTTCCCCCGCTGGCTGTGCAGTGTGAACTGAGTGATCAAACACCGCTCCACTCTACTCTGGGAAGAGAGCTATGCCTGTCGGTCTCAAGCTCTGTGCTGTGCCCCTCCAATGCTCACTGGAGCACCAAGCTGTGGAGGGGGCGAGAGTGGTTGGCTCAGGCTCTTGGCAAAACGCAGGGAGGCTGAGCCAGGTGCCGGTCCAGGATTCTGGGTGGATCCCGACCATATGGTCAGTCTGAGTGACCTCAGCCGGAATCGGACTTTAGACCTCTGTCTACTGATAATGGGTCACAGGATTGTAGAACAAACCGCACTCCTGTGACCTACAGGAGAAGTATAGCCAATATAGCTTTGGCTGTACTTCTCCTTTTAAGCTAGCCATAGAGTAATTGAAATTCATTCATTTCATCATGGGCTGACCAAATTTTGTTCTGTGTGTGGCCCTCATTTCATCCAAACCACCACAAAACCATCTTTTATTACTCCTAGATGATTAAATAGGTTCACTCTGCTGACTATAAATTTTAGTAATGGTATATAAATGGCTACAATATTGGTTCATTGAGTAGAAGCATAACTAAAAGACTATTGATCTTTGTACTTAGGTAAAATAATGCGGAGGGTCCTCAGGCAGATTGCCCGGAATGAGAAAGATTTGGGAGACATATCTACACTGGCAGATCCCAGCATAGTGGAGGTCTTGTTCAGCCAACGATGTGAAGCAGCAGCATGAAGGAATTTTAAGATTCGTTACAGTAGACAATCTGTTATATATTCTGGGTTTTCCATACCTTTTTATGTAAATATTTTAATATCCATCCATATGAAGATTCTTCCAAATCAGGACTGGCTTCCTACATGAAGAAGTTATCTAGGTATATCTTCAGTGTGTTCTGGCCGTGAAACCTGCCCATGATGAGAATAATTTATCTTAAATTGTTTTACGGTGGCTGGATATAACCATGGAAATAATTTCTGTTAAGCTAATGTGTTCTGCAGTCATTTTGAGAATTTTAATTACTATGATTATTTTCTTTTAGTTGTTATTCAGCTTTAACCCATAATTTTTGGTTGAATGTATTTTTATTTCCAAGTAATAAAACTGAAACTAAAATAGGTCTGAGATAAAAATGACTAGTACAAAGATAACCGGAACAAAAATGAAACATCCATCCAGAACATTCAAATACATATCTCACTTATCTATATTATTCTGTTAGTGCTTTTATTTATGTACCATTTTTCTGAGCCAATGGCTCCTGCTGCTGTCTCAGCCAATGAGGAGAGGGAGTCCCAGGAATGCCGAGACTACAGTGCATATTGCTGGAACATGGGGGGGCAGGGGGAGCTGCTGCACAGAGAAGGTTTTTAACCTTCATGCATAGTGCGTAAAAACTTGAGCCTTTACAACCACTTTAAAGTTTTTTTTTACACAAAATAATCCCCTCTGGGTGATTTTTGTACACTGACAGGATTTTAACAAGCCTTGTTGCAAATGTGTTCAGAAATATGTTTGTTTCAACATGTACTTTACAGAGTGATTCCAGAATGGGGAGGGTCTGAAGCAAATCTCAGTGTTCGAATGACAAAAACTGAAATGGTATCAGTACATACACCTTAGGAAGTTTGTCCTCCAAAAATGAAATTCCTATTTAGGATGCCTTAAAATTGTATTTGTATTTTAGTGCACACTTCTGAGAAGATCATTGAACCAATCATGCTGGCAGTAAATTACACTTCGAGGGCATTCCATACATACCAGCAGTGTACAAAAAGGCCTCCAGGTTATCATACTGAAATTAATTTGACAGTTATTAAAAATTTGTTTTCCATTTCAATCTGTAGCAGCTTAAATCAGATTAAATAAAAAAATTACTTGGGTAATAATTTCTATGCTATATCAACTTTTTTGTAAACAAAAGTGGAATTTTCCTTTTAATCTAGAGTCTCTAGACACCCATAAAGGAACAAACTAAACCATTGCCTTTTGAGTTACCCATGCATTGGTCAAAAGTCAAGTTGTATCCAATATTGTGTTATATTTCTATACATTGTATATGGGTTTCACTGCAAGTTAAATTTTTCTGTTTTCGGTCATTGCAACATATACTTCTGAAGCTAGTCTGGGAAAGTTAACATTTTATTGTGGTAAATAATTACTGACATTCTAATGCCTAAACATATTTTTTTTTTTTTTTTTTTAATTTTTACAAATTTTTTTTGGTCATTGCTGCATTTTTTTTTTTCTATCACTTTATGTAATTATTAGGAAGGGATTGATATGAAATGTAATTTCAGTTGTGACTTGTAAAATAAAGTGCATCTGGTGAGGGATTGCAGTAGATTAGCAGGTCTGCTGTTTTCCTACAGTCCATACTGATGTCCTGTGCTACTTCTTCTGGGACTATATCATACCTTCCAACCTGTGGACGTAGTGCAGTGCAAATCTACTGCATACATGTGGAGATGACTCAGACCGGTCCGCTCTCTGGTGGGAAATGCTTCACTGTTAATCAAATTCAACCCTGTCTGATTCACATGGATTATAGACATTAATACCATCATTATGTTAATATAGCATTCCAATTGCCCAGTATGTGTTTTGTTTTTCTATGCTGCTAGATGCTAGACCTTGAGTCTAGGTTCACACTACTGTGACCTGAAAGTCGCAGATGGCTTCCTGGCAACTTGAGTATTACTTTGATATGACTTTGAAGTGAGCCTTAGGCTCGGTTCACACTGTCACCACTTGGGATCCGACTTGTGAGACCCCAAGTCACATGACATGTGAAATCCCATGTTAGTCAATGAGAGTTGTCTTCATTAGCACTACTGAAGTAGCTCAGACTTTTAGAAAAAGTTCCTGGACTACTTCTAGGCGACTTCTATCCGACTTGTGCCAATAGTGTTAATGGAAGTTGCCTCCAAGTCGGACCCTCATCTATATTGATGTGATTTGGATCTGACATTACAGGAAGAATACCCAGGCGTTCCCTGAAAGTTGTTTCAAAGTTGCATCAAAGTAGTACTGAAGTCGCCTGGCAAAACCGCACTGTAAGTCTCGCTACTTTCAGGTTGCAGTAGTGTGAACCGAGATTAAGTGAAACCACTTTTAGCAGCACTTCCTCTTTCCTGGTTGGTTAATATTTAATGAAAGTAAAACCGTCATGATGTCGTAGTAAGGTAACCAATCAGGTGGATCAATTTGAAATAGTCAGAACCATGGAACACATTTTTAGTGTTGGTTGCTGTGCATACTGTTCCTTTGCACATTATTGTTTGCTTTGCTGAATACAAGCCTTAATGTTGCAAGACACAGGTCAGGTTTTTATAGATCTTTTAAAAATGAATAAAATTTATGTTGGGTCTTCATACAGTATACATGAACAGCTGTGTCTATTTTCAAATTTAAATCATTGTTAAATTATCTGAACTACGGTTTTTTTCATTGTGTTTTATATTGTATATGTATTAAATGACTTCCACACTACCTGTATCCCTGAAATGTTAGAATGTGACTTTTTATATACTTGCAGTTTCTGAAGCTTTTTTTGATGACTGTAATGTGTTTACATCAAGACTTTCATTTAATAAAGCACAGATGTACTGTCTTCAGTCATTCCCACTATTGTGGACAGTAATTTTGTGGTTACGTTTAGGCCCATTGAAGAAAAGGTGTTATTTTCTACTACATTGCTCAAAAAAATTAAAGGAACACTTTGAAAACACATCAGATCTCAATGGGGAAATCTCATGCCGGATATCTATACTGATATGGACTGGGTAATGTATGATGCCTCATCGTTTGATGGCAATTAAAATTATCAACCTACAGCGGACTGAATTCAAAGACACCCTGAAAATCAAAGTGAAAAAAAATGATGCAGCAGGCTAGTTCATTTTGATGAAATTTCATTGCAGCAACACAAAAGGGTAGTTTGTGTGGCCCCCACATGCTTGTATGCATGCCTGATAATGACGGATGTTGTCCCTGGCGTATTTCCTCCCAGATCTGGACTAGGTCATCACTGAGCTCCTAGACAGTCTGAGGTGCAACGTGGCGGCATGTGATGGACTGAAACATGATATGCCAGAGGGGTTCTATTGGACTTAGGTCAGATGAGCGTGAGGGCCATTCAATGGTATCAATTCCTTCATCCTCCAGGAACTGCCTGCATACTCTCCCCACATGAGGCCGGGCATTGTCATACAGCAGGGGGAACCCAGGACCCACTGCACCAGCGTATGGGTTTGACAATGGGTCCAAGGATTTCATCCCAATACCTAATGGCAGTCAGGGTGACATTGCCTAGCCTGTAGAGGTCTGTGTATCCCTTCATGAATATGCCTCCCCAGACAATCACTGACCCACCACCAAAACGGTCATGCTGAACGATGTTACAGGCAACATAACGTTCTCCAGACCCTTTCATGTCTGTCACATGTGATCAGGGAGAACCTGCTCTCATCTGTGAAAAGCACAGGGCGCCAGTGGTTGACCTGCCAATTCTGGTGTTCAATGGAAAATGCCAGTTGAGCTCTATGGTGCCAGACTGTGAGCACAGGGCCCACTAGAGGACATTGGGCCCTCAGGCCACCCTCATTAAGTCTGTTTCTGATTGGCCAGAGACATTGACACCAGTGGCCTGCAGGAGGTAATTTTGTAGGGGTCTGGCAGTGCTTAGCCTGTTCCTCCTTGCTGATGGGTTAAGGACCTTCTACAGTCCTGTCCAGCTTTCCTAGAGTAACTGCCTGTCTCCTGGAATCTCCTCCATGCTCTTGAGACTGTGCTGGGAGACGCAGCAAACCTTCTGGCAATGGCATGTATTGATTTGACATCCTGGAAGCGTTGGCCTGCCTGTACAACTGATGTAGGGTCCAGGCATCACCTCATGCTACCAGTAGTGATACTGATCCTAGCTAAATGCAAAACTAGTAAAAAAGAGAAAAGATGAGTAGGGAAAAAATGTCAGTGGCCTCCGCCTGTAAAACCATCTAGTGCACCTGTTGTTAATTTCATTAACACCAAAGCAGCTGAAACTGATTAACAACCCCCTCTGCTACTTAACTGACCAGATTAATATCCCAGGAGTTTAATTGACTTGATGCTATACTCTGATTAAAAAGTATTCCTTTAATTTTTTTGAGCAGTGTATAATGGTTGCATACTGCCATACTTAAAGTGTTCCTAAACTATATCTGGTCTCCCACAGTACACAGAACATGGAAATACAAATATTTTAGTAAATATAAACTGCTAAATACCTTTTCTCAGCAGTTAGAGCAGTCTTGTGACTTCTATCACTGTTCAGCAAAGCATTGGTTAAAGCTTGTAGGAGGAGTTTTCTTTCTGCTCTAGGAGGATGTAGAACCCCTGACTCCTGTCCGGACAGTGCTGATTGGCCCTGTACTGATCACTTGCACTCTCCCAAGAAAAAAAAATACACACCAAGTGAGCATGTGTAGAGTGTCTACACGATAAGTCTTTTAGGAGATAAGAGGGTGGCACTGGAAGAAGGGGAGGATTGGAGAAGTCAGGATCAAACAGCGGTTTTACACAATGCAGAGGATTAACCCCTTAGGTTCCACAGTGAGTGTAACAAGCATGCTTTACTATATATACAGTCTGATTTTACTGTTGGTTTAGTAACACTTTAAAAAGCAACAATATTTAAAACCCAAATGTACTTCTCAGCTGCATTACCTTTTTATAGTTGAATTCCTAAATTATCT